TGGCACATGGTCGGGCGCGAGGTCAAGGCGCCGCGGCCGTTGGCACAGCAAATCATCTCACGAAAAGATTGAAAGACGAGTGTCCAAATACGATACGACAAAGTCCACATTACAGAACTGCCATTCTAGCGTATTGGATTCGCTTTTTGTGTGATCAAATACTACGAGGGCTGCATACATAAACATACAAAAACAGTATCTTCGGAAGTTAGTGCCGGAATGATCGGAGCAGGAAGCGTGACATCAGCGGACATTGGAGGCGGATATTTTGAGATGTGCATTCCTCTGCCATCGCTTCTCAGAAAACCGGAATATTGGCGAGCGACCGGCGCGTGCCCAACTCTTTGACTCATCCGTAGCGTTCTCATTGTGTTTGTCATCGAGGAGTAGGATAAACAAAATTTGGTCTTGAATATCAGTACAGTTCCGATGTCTATTTTTATTAACATTCACATTAAATGGTTTTTCGTATAACAAAAAGCTCCTCTCTTTTCCTGATCTTAATCCCGGTAGTACTTCATTTTAAACGTAAGATTTATGGACAAATTTAAAGATGAATGTACTGATAGCTTCACCATTTCTATACAATTTATGTCTATATACATATGTACAACAATCATGCGCACAAGCGAAGGTGATCGGGCGTCAGTTGACGGCGTGCCAAGTGCGGGCCGAAATAAAGTACATAATGCACTCGACCGCGGCCGGTGAGAACGCCTCGGGCGGGCATTGGCAATGCGATTTCATCGAACACACTACACTGGTGCAATCCAAGGCGCTTCTCACATACCGAATAGTCTATAAATCAATAAATCAACTTATTCCGTACCATTTGCCAATGAAAATTATAGATGTATATCTTCTCCGATCACATACCAAAACTTATGAAATAAATAAGTTAAGTAACATTTTAGGTCCATCAATTAACTAGTCTTGATTTTAAATATTCTATACTCTATCTCTCACGTATCTTGACCTTTAAACGGGCTGTTTGTTTGTTGATTATTATGTAATTACTCTACCTTTAAGTAATGTATCTAGAACATGCGACGCCTTAACATGACCGAATGTGTAAAGCCAATGGTCTATAAAATGCTTTAACAACAATATACTGAAGTTCTATAAGGGAAAAATTTAAGAACAAAAACATCATTATTATACAATTTAGGGCATTTTACATAAAACCTTCGACGGGTCTAAAACTAGTCGGTGCCATTAGTGTTACCCATAGAGTTGCCCTTTCTTAATCAGATTATTTTAAATGCTATTTGGAACCCTTAAAAAAGTATAATTTTCTCTCTTTTCCTAAGTGAGGAAAGCCGGATGGGAAGTAATTAAATTAGTTTACGTTATGATTATGATAATGACGCCTTCCCCATTGGATGACGCATTTAATACGCTATTCAGTATGTGCGTCAGCCGAATTCTGACATTCAGATTTATTGGATATATGCTTTAAGATTCTCATTAATATCATAAGAAAAACATTGTTAATCATACTAATAACACTTCATACTAATATTATAATTGCGAAAGTTTGGATGGATGGATGTTTCTTAGAGTTTGTAGCCTAAACAGCTGAAAAGATTTCGATGAAATTTGGTACAAATGTAGAGGTTAGTCTGGAAGAACATATAGACTACTTTTGTTTTTTTTAATCCCACGCAGACGAAGTCGCGGGCGAAAGCTAGTATAGCTATAAATGAAAGAAATTTGCATCTGAATCTTTTGTTCCGTGATTTCGTCATGGTTTTATCATTTTTTATTTGCTGTAACTATAAATCTTATTAGAATATAGCTTCATTGTTAGTGATTTGCAAATATGATGCAATGTAAAACAAGATGAGACATGTTAACTGCAATTAAAATCATTCATTATCTTAATTCTGCCACTCGAATGACTACAGGTATATAGTACTGTCATATTACTATTTATCGATTTATCTATACTATTATAATAAAGCGTAAACACACACTTCTTTGTTGCCTAATATGTCAGCAATCACGGCATATTTTCGAATAACTCTTTTTTTTAATAAAAAGTCCCACACTTACGTTACGCTTTAGGCTATATATTTTCACGCCGTTAAACTTAGGAATACATATTTTGGAAAAAAACCCTAATGTGGGAAAGAGATCATAAGTTATTGCCAACATCAAGAGAACAAGGTTGCCATGGTTTGACATCATGTCATGTCATTTTGACATTTGCAATTCATAATTTGACAAATGTGAACGATAAAATGAAATTTTTATGATTTTATGCGGATGAAGTCGCATGGGAACCGCTAGTTTTTAATAAGGATAATAATTACGTTGCAGTGAATCTGTTTCTGCAGTGAATTGGATATCAAAATGTAGACATACACTCAAACAAAACAATTCGACTAAAACAAAGAAACACGTTACACAGAAGCTACAACAAGAATAAAACATTTCCCGGCATCTGGTAAATAAATTTGAATTTGTTAAAAAACAATACACGGAGTTTAATTACAAACATGTACAATTACGTTGAAATTCCCGAGGCAAGGCTTTTGTACACCATTGTTTGTAACAAATTCGCTAACGAAATTTGTTTTTCGCTAAAACAAGACAATACAATTGTTTCCAATTCATCCCGAGTGAGGGCAACGATCCTATACTCCGGTCTGGTAAACTAAAATATTTTCTTAAACATGGTTAACTTTTACTTTAACACTTGTTCATTTACTTGTAACTTTTTTTTAAATAAATTGAATAGATAATAAAAAGTTTCGATTATAATTAAATATCTGTTCCTGTGCGGCTTCATCCGAATGACATTATGAAAATTTTATTTTCTTATTATTTGTCAAATTCTCAATTGCAAATGTTAAAATTACCGTTACCATAATAACCTTCCTTAATGTTGGCAGCTTGTAGTTTATGGTCCCACTTCCACAGGTAGGTTATTTTCGAATTTATTTACCGCTAAGCTTAAAAGCGTGAAAATGTAAAGCGTAAAGCGTGTCGTAAGTATAGGGCTTTTTATTAAAGAAGTAATTATTCAAAAAATATGCTATGATTACTAACATCCAACGCCATAAAATATTGTTGTTTACGCTTTATTACAATTGTAAAGAAGTATAGAGAACTATTTCTTACTAAATAATGATAACTCAGATAAACTATGTACCGTGTACCTCCGTACCCTTTACCATTCTATTGATTATTTTCCTGGGAATACACGCGTTCGTACTCGCCGACAAAAACATAATCGTTATCAGGCGCGGTCAAGACAATGAGTGGACCGAATCACTTGCCGTAATCGATACGCACCAGCTGTACAATACAGGCCTGCTGCACACGGATTATTTATACAAAACAGTTTCTTTTCAGATTATCATTTTTTTTAATATTAGCAGATTTTTGTTAATTTTACTAACATTTCCTTTAATCATTCCAAGCATCACATAAGCTTTAGACTTGTGCTAGGATACGGTTCACGACAATAGTCGAATTGCGGGACGGGATTCGAACTCTGGACCGCAACATCGGTAGTCCGTACCCCAAACCATTAATTAAGACAAAGTAAAAGTCTAATCGAAACACTTGAAAATATTTTAGATCATTTGTATTTAGAAATTAAGATTTCAATCCTTGTTTTATCCTTAACTGGTTGTAAGTTTACTGATTTTGACTAAAGGTTTAATTTAAAATTTTCGATAACCATACTTCCAACTCTTTAAGGGTTAGAATTTCCAAAATTGTCAAAATTTATATCCATAATCTAAACTATAGATTAACAACATTGTAATGATTAAATTATTTTCCTCATCTTACAATCGAGATTCGTACAAAAGTATTAACAAACTAGCTTTTGCCCGCGACTCCGTCTCCGTGGAATTAAAAAACTAAAGTGACTGTATGTGTTCTTCCATCCTATCTTCTACGTCTATGCCAAATTTCATCAAACATCCATCCATGTGTCCTTACAAATTTACAATATTATAAAGAAGTAACATGTATGTATGTAGAAAGCCTTAGCGGGTTGTTTAGAGCGGTACTAATTGTGATGCCGTGCGCGGCGCGGGCGGCCGGGGCGAGGATGCGCGTTGATGTCGTACACACCGCGCACCCGCCTTATGTAATTGTAGAAACTTAGCGCGCTATAATATACTTGCATTTTGACACTATATTATTTACATGCAACAAAAATCTTATAGGGTTAAAAAGGAACAAATTGATTTAAATTCAGAAACTATGTTATATTTTAAAATTGAATATTGGTACCGTATTGATTAATCAATATTCTTTTTTAAGCTGCGGTGTCATATTGTAATGATACTGTAGAGGAGACGATAACAAGTTAGAGAAACAAACAACTTGATGAAGTGGAACCAAATGTACTGTTAAGTAAACAAAACAATCACGTGTAACTATTACAAATTAACAGAAACAACGATAAACGAAAATATTACTAAAACATGATATATACGTCGGGATGTAATTTATTCGTAGTTGAGATTTGTGATGAGTCATCCGCGACGACATAGTCTGTTATCTTATCTACATCTTGTTTTCGCCGAGCGCCGCGCTCCACTGAATCAACATCGGTGACAAACAAAAGCGCTAGGAAACATTTTGGGCGACCACGTGACTCGCCGACTTGCACGCTGTAATTTCATCTCGAGGCAGTCGTCACGTACGCGCTTACTAACTTGACAATGGAGACCGCACTTAACGAATACGACAAACAATTTTCATTGCATAGCGTGCTGATATTAAAGTCGATATTAGCGTGGACGAGAGCTTTATCTTACAAAATAGCTTTAGGCTACCTGAATGAATATTACGTCCTCGATTCAACGCGACCTTCGGACTGAAAACATGTTATCAGGGGGCGCGGTATCTCAGCAGAATTCGGGCGGCAACGAACAAAGTAAATACACACGACCTTGAGGTACGTTTTCGCGAGATAAGGTTTGAGTTACGATCACATTAAAATAAAAGTAATTTTAAAAGCAAGGAGTACTGACCTGCGTGACCATGTCCCAGTAGAAGCCGTCGAGCATGGACTTCCCATGCTGATGCTGGCGGCAGAGCGCAGGCCAAAGCGCTGCGCGCACGGGGCTATTGATGGGCCACGAATTCTCGCGGATGACAAGCTTGAGGTCGCGCTTGCGGCTCTGCTGGAGGAGCGGCTGCACCTCCTCGTAGGTCTTGAGGGGCGCCTTCTTGCCTGCGAATAAGGGCGAGGGTAAGCACTGCGTCCAGACCGGCGGCGGCGTGTGGTCGCGCGCGAGCGATTCGTCGCTCGGGGCGCGGAACGCGGCCGGCTCTATGTACATGGCTCGATCGCGTCGCACATGCTTCCTGTGCGCGCGCGCCGGCGGCACTGCCAGCCGAGCGGCGCGCAGCCGCCAGCCTCCGACCGAGAGCGCGATAGAGCCCCGGCACAACCGTACCTTGTTTATCTGACCGTGCTACGCCGCCGCGGCCGAATAGGCCCCGAGCGCGATCTAATCTCTAATATGTAGTTGACATAAATGCACTACCTATTAAAGTTTATCCATATGTAATATCAAATGACGAAGTTAAGCATATTCTAAATAAAATAAAATAGTACTATTACATACAACTTACATTGTCATATTCAAAGTATGAAAATGCTGCATGGCTAATTGAAATGCAAAAAGTGAGACAGAATCCCAAGAATAGAAGCCTTCTAATCTTTATTCTTCAACATTATTAAGGTTGATTTTAGTTGTTTTATTTCACTTCGTATCATAGTATACATAACAGATATTACTATTAAACATGAGGTCATGCAATATTTCTAATTGCGTCGCTTTACCTAATAGCTTAGCGTAACCAAGAAAAAAACTGTGGGCTATATTGACAATGTAGTGTAAACACAGTGGCATATCAACATGCAGAAATACAAAAATAGTGGTGGAATGGTAGCGGTAACGCACGCGGCCCGCTGGACAGTCGCCAACGGTACACAAGTGAGTAATTTCGTGCAATCAAAGACTTACGATTTATTTATAAAATTACAAAAGTACCAACACAATATTATACTGGGTTCTTAGTAATGTCAACTGACTTGTGGGATATGAATTCGGGAAATCTAATACTGCACAAGTGGTAGCCATCTATAAATAATCCGTGCCAATGATTCGAAGTATTATTTTTTTTACCCGGAACCGTTTTGTTATTGAACTGACTTGGCTAAATCAATTCATTTCCTTGGCTGGCGTCACGTAACATAAATATGCACTAACAATCTTAACGCAAAAGGGTCAACAGAGATTATCGACTGCAATTTGGCAACTTTCCTATACTTTTATTTTACGATATGTATATCTAGTTTTTATAATCAAAATTGACACATGTCTAAATTAGCTAAAATAAAAAACTGCTTAATGTTCCTAACTTCACATTTTTTTAATAAATTAAAATTGGTCAAAAAGTCCCCGCGGCAGTTGCAGTGTTAAGCGACAGATAAGCCGAGGTTATCTAGCGCAGTCTCTGCGGGCGCGGCGATTATCACTACGAGTCGATTTTAACCAGTTTAATGAAGGAGTCACAACACGCACACACATCATAATTGAAATCACAAATATTTTCGTCAGCAAAGCGAAAATTCTCAAGCCATAGATAAATAAAGTTTAAATAAAATTTAGGAATCGCTTCGTTGATATCTAATTAGAGTTTATTTTGCGTCGATACTTGATTTGCAATTGAATACTAAGTATTATATAATACTAAATATACGTGTGTATGTAATATTGTGCGAAAAGTAATAAATAAATAAATAAATAAATAATGTCATAAAATCTATTTGTGTAGAAGTAATTAGATATATTTAATCACTAATATCCACAATCCTTATTTTATAACATATTTACGTATTTTTTGTAAAACCTAATAGTTGGCAATTATTGGAAAAAAAAGTAAAGTAATTATGAAAAATCATAATTAACAAAGCAATTTCAAAACACACGAAGTAAATTGAAACAGCCACAGAGTATTCTTAAAAAAATGTCTTCATAAAAATAAATAAACATAATTTAAAACCTACAAAATGAAAAAAATAGTAGACAAGTGCTATAAAAAAACAACAAAGAAATGAACGTAAACATAATAGAATTGACCGTTGCGAAGTTTATTAAAAAGTAAACAACTACAGAGAGAAATACAACGTGATCATAAGAAAAACTTATTATTAAAGATAAAAATAAATACAGGAATACAGATCACGAGTCTTAGACATATTTTAATTTATATAAATAAAACACAAATTTTAATAGCAATAAATTATTCAGAGAAATCCAAATATACCATAAAGGAAATGGCTTGACAATAAACCTTAAGGTATTATATCTGTTATCAAATATCAAGATTATTTAATTTATACTCTACATCATCACTCAAAATGACGGACTTTGAACCCGTTGTCTTGGCAATCGAAACATGCAAGTGGAAAAAAGATACATGAATTTAAATCGATACATTACGTTGTATTGGGCGTTATGTAGGTTATCTGTAAATTGTTCAGGTCGATAACACCGACTTGCATAAGACATTCTACTCAGCTCCTTACACATTTTCCTACATAACTGCACTCGCTTTTAGTGCGATACTGCCCTAAACATATATAAAAATACACGAAAAACAAAACAAAATGCACTAAAAACAAAACAAAATGCACCAAAAACAAAATATTCTCAAAAAAACAGTACACTAAAAAG